ATGGCTTGATCATTCTCAAAGCGGACCGAACCATGGACGTCAACTGACTGGGTCTAGCAGCGATGTACATGAAGTTGACTCGGTAAATAGTAATGCTCGACGAATCGGTATAGGCTTTCCTCTTGACCGTCCAATACAGCCGATTCTAGTGCCGGGACTCGATCCAATTTACTTCATGCATACGACGAATAACCTAGCATTCTTTTCATATAAAAGTGTGCATGACGAAGCGATTCATAGGTCGAGCACATCATCATATGACTGCTGACTCCCGTCGTCTTCTAATGAGATCAAATTGCAGGCACTTTTATATGAAACGAAAGTCTCCATGCCAATTCACATCGTTGTTCCGCCTGGCAAAAGAGGTTTTCATCGCTTCGCCGGCCTGTAGCAAGGAGCCACAGTACCGGATGTAGAGGCGGTAGCCTCTTTGCGCAACCGAGATGGTTGGATTTGACGCATCTACCTGTCGCGCCGGGGGCAATAAGTAACGATGCCGTCGGTATAGAACAACTTTTCGGACATGTTACTCGTTGAACATTTTTCTGTCAACCTTAAAGGCCTACATGTCGACCGCGTTTGTCTGAAAACGGGAGATGCCTCTCCACTGACCGCCACTCTCGGCTCTGAGGGTGTGAACTTTGTGTGTGAGGTCTGTTTGTGTTTGCATGCGCAGGTGAGTTTGTGTTTATGTCCAGTTTGCATCCATCCCTGCGGCCCACCTCCGGTAGCAAGGCCGCGTGACTCGAGCCCACACAAGCAGGCCTGAACCGGACTTGTGCCCGCAGGCTTGTCACGCAGATCGCGAGGCGATAATTAGGGGCGTCTTCAGACCCTTCTCGATTTACACACCCTGGCCGAGGTGGTGACCTGAATGTGAGTTACCACCTACCTTACTCGCCGACCCTCGCATGCACGACCGCGTCTTCTGCTTCCCCCCTTCCAGCCTCGGAAATAGTTGGTTTACAAAACCAATCTGTACTTGGATGTCTCGGCCCGATTGTAATTCCCCTGTTCACTAAACCCTTTCATAATGCTCTCACAACATAGACACACGCGCAGACATATAGAAAAACTGGTCTTCTAAGCCATACAAACAGACACACCTACATACATACACACACGCAGTTATGCTCACCTGAAGGTGGGTGTGCACCCACGCAAGTGGACAAACGGTGTGACACGCTAAATGATTGATAGAGGCGTCGAAACACATACACAAGTCGACACATTAGCACGGGACTGCCGGCAAGGCTGAATACAAGAACAAGTGTCATCGAGCTCGATCCACACAAGTGACATTTGGACATCTCGTTCAACTGGAGCCTTAATGGATCGTGATGGAAATTCAACAATTATTAACACCTATTTGTAGATGTTCACGCCTCCCAGCTCTCTCATACACACAAGGCTCATACAAACAAATAGGCCTACTCTTAGCAGCCTTTAGACTCACACACTTTGTGCACACACACACACACACATGCATATGCCCTTATATGCAATGTATGCACATTTGTACGCATGTAATAGCACGAGACCGACACCGATTAAAGCTTGTTGCTTACTTGCGGCTTCGAGCATGGCCGTCAGAATCTGGGCCAGCAACCTTTGTGACCGCCGTCAGGCTATGCTCATCGGCAAGTTGGCATGCAATCTTGGCATTTGTGATGAGGGTAATTGTGCGCTGATGCCCGTCGAGTCGTCCAGACGACCTGGCAGTTTGGTGCACTGGTGGGCCACTTGGTCGGGGCTTGGCACCAAATGGTATTGGCCGATTCGGGACGAGATGCTCACGCCTGCTGGACCCTGACAACGGCCTTGACGACTGAGGGGGTCGTCTTCTGGGGGACACCAAATTCACGGGGGTTAGGTGTGAGGTCATCTTGCCTGAGGTGATGCATTAGCGGGAGACCTATCCAACTTGCAGTGCCACCTACGCTGGTACATTGAGGCTTTTGTGAATGTGTAACCGTAACAAGTGACTCCCCTCGAAGTTGCATAGTCTTATGGACCACCAGCAGGAGCATGCAATCGGTCAGTTTGTCCGGCATCCTAGGCCGACGGTAGGGTTGGCGTCATGCAGTCTCTCTGAAAAGTAGTAATACCATATCTTGCAGTTATGCAAACTTTTATTTAAGAATAGCCATCCTATCCAGAACAAGGTAAAAATATAAAAAAATACTAGCGACACTTAAGTAGTATATGCATTTTAATAGCAAATACACGATTATCCATCTACAAAAAGTCTCCCCAATGGAAACGAGTTAGGATAGGCCTTGAATTGGAGTTCTTGTCATCCATCCTAGGTAGCATAAAGTGATGAAGGACTGATTGTGAATTTTCCCAGACAATCCAAATAAATTTCTCTTGGCCTAGCTTTCCCGGCCGTACTGGACTGCAGACTCGACTTTCCCACAATGACATGAGTAGACTTGACGTTCCCATTGAATCTCACCTACTGTGGGAAACTTGAACTAGCAATCTTTCATAACCCTATTCAACCTAGAGTGAATGGAACTCATACTTAACATTTAG